GTCTTCGCTTGTCTGCAGAAGGACCACAAAGATGGGACCAGCCTAGGTTCTCATGGGAGGATGTTCCAAATTTTGGGAGTAGAGACAGAGAAGTCCCTCTCCCATATCCCCACCAAACGCCCCTTTGAGGGTGGTGGGGCTGAGAGAAAGTAATATATTGCACTAGCCAGACTTTCAAACTGAAAAAAAGAGGAACCTGCTCAAAGTTATCATTTTAGATATGATAACTAGATATGAGCTTGCTTTTGAAACCCAAGCAAACTCATAAAGGGAAACACAGTAAGTGATCTAGCTTACTGGTCACAAGTCAAAACCTACACAATTCAAGTTAGGCACCAAGTGTACCAAGAGAAACCTTGCCTCCTTGGTGGTTTTTACACAGCAGAGGAGACCAGGAAGGAGAGCAACCGTTTTGGAAGATGAGTCCAGGTTTTGCTGTTTTTATACAAGAACAAACGTCAAAAGAACGCACCTTCCCTTCACATGATCCACCCCCAGTCATGCTGCCTCTTAAGCATGATTTCACAGATACAATCTCCCTGCTGAATGTATTCATCCCTATTTTGAGCTCACTAATCTGTGGTCGTGTTTCAAGGCTGCTACCTCTTCTGGCAGGAATCCCAAATGTCAGCGACATGTTGTGTATCCTTTGCCTATCTGAAATGTGCTGTCCGGCTTCATTAAAAGTTCTGAAGAGTCAGCAGTTGAACTGCCTCAAAAGAATGACTTAAAGACAAATGTATATTCAGCCTGTCCCAATATGAAACTACTTTATAAGTTCTACCGCCAGCTGGTCCATTAGAAACTATTCAGAATCTGTAATAGAAGAACATGTTTTACTAGGATTAACTAACAGGAATTGAAATCGTGCATTCTCCTGAACTGTTCTGAAGGCTCATTGTTAAAAATGTTTTTATTTAATATCTTGCCTGAAAAATATGTATTTCGGTACAGATTTGGGTAAGGATTTATTTTAAATCTGCAGAAATGAGACAGATTGGATTTAGGAACAGACCTGTAGAGCAGTTATATGGACTTGAGAATGAATAGGTCCACCCGGCCGTAGATGGTCCTATGGTAAAGGATTGCTTTTTTGGACTGGAAAGTAAAACAGGGTGAAAAGCAGGCGAAAATAAAAAGCACATGCAGTTTATATTAAACGTTACCTGTACCTACTGCACTGCTGATGGCTGTGGCGTGTGCCACGTGATACTGAAGCTTTAAGGACTTCCACTGTTGCACAAAGCCCCATGTAAACACAACGGTGCAAACCCAAGGGGCTCTCCCTGGAGCTGTAACTTATAGATTGCTCCATAAAAATATCATTTGGAGGGGCAGGGTGGAGAGAGAAAGAGAAATCAACAGGAGTCTAATATTTCTCTTGGAATTTTGCAACCCTTCACGGTCAAAGAGCCCATGCTGAATGTCGCCATTGTTTCTTAGGGTTGGGGAAATATAATTGGCTTGAGAGAGAGTATCCCATTTCTCTCGAATTAGGTAGTTCAGCTCACTAAAAGCCCATTGTTCAAGGCAGAACGGAGGGTCTCCGAACCCGGAAGAGAACTCGGGGGCCAGACTTTGCAAGGCATAGCATAACTCTGCCTATTTTATATCTCTGTCTTTCCAAGCACACCGAGGAATGTTTCACCCTTCCCAGAGGCTGCAGCATAATCATGAATGCCCTGGATGAACTGGAGGGCTAAATATTGGGTAGTTTCTGACATGAGACGGTTGAGGCAGATGGGGATATGTCACAGAGGTCTCCAGGGCAAAGCAGCCTTGCAACCTAAGTACGGGATTTTAGTAGTAATGGCAATCTCCTGAGGACAGGCAGTGATTCTTGCTCTTGGCATGTCACAGAGATATGGGGGCATAAAAACTCCCTCTCATTTATTGAGCTTATGTATTTGGTTCCCCTGCAATGAATAATGCTGACGTGCCCGGTGTTTCGGTTCTAGATGCTCTTTCTGGAACGCAGACAGTCCATGCTCTGGAACAGACGAACTGCAGAAACAGCACCAGGGCTCATAAAGAACCAGCAGGCACTTAGGGGCAACACGCCGTGAAATTCCCAAGAGCCCCTGAGGCTATCAATACGAAAGTACTAGGCACTCCCTATAGTCAGGACCAGCATGTCTCAGGTATCTTTGACTCTGTTAGGGAGCTTATCTTATCTTTCATTAAACACCTTGAGGAGATAGAGAGAGATTTGGTAGGAAGAGAGGAGACTCAAACTATGAGATGAGCTTCCCCAAGAAGTGTGTTTGTACCCCTTGCTGCCCATTTTAAAAGTAGGAACACAATCGATCAATTGTTTCAACCGATTCATTAAGTTAAAGCCTTTTTGACTGATTCATTTGTCCTGCATTGTTTTAATTGTCTGCTGTACTACTGTACAATGTTATTTGTATTTTTATGCAATTTCATTTCTTTTGTTCACTTTGTCCTCTAAGGTCTAAGCAGGAAGTAAGGGTCAGAATCCTACTGCTTGGAAAAGTAACACTCCAAGTTGCATGCTTGGACAGTGCAAAGTTTAGCTCTGGGGGAATCTATAGGAACCTACGAGATGCAGGATCCATGGCTGAGCTCCGTCTTTAGATCAATCTCTGCAGGCAGTGCAATAATGAAGAAGCACCACATCCTGCCATGAGGTCCATATCCTGAAAGCATTTACCGGGCAAAGTAATTGTTACAGATATCATTTTGAGATATGCCTTAAATTAATGCTTCCTTGAAGTAAGCCTTTATTTGGAACCTCTGAACCATAGAGGGGTTGTGGATTCTTTTTCTTTAAGTTATGAAGTTGAACTTCTCTCTATTACTGGCTTTACTTTTACTGCTTATCTCATATCCCATACCCTCCCCAGTTTTCAGTCTTTAATTGTATTTTTAATATTCAGTCACTCTGAATGGGCTTTTGTACGAGAGAGAGAGAGAACGTGTGTGCACGTGCATGCGTGTGCATGAGTGCGTGTATTGAAAAAATAAATAATTTATGCTGGGGATGCCATTAAGTAGTCGTCACAAACCTTATGACTCATCCTTTCACTATTTCATTCCACTTATTTAGTTATATCCTGGTATATCTATGCATTTTCAAAGCTGCAGAAATGTTATGCTTAATTTATACTTCCAAGAGACCAAATTAAAAGATAAGCATACATATTCAGAATCAGTACCTAACACAGGAAAACTTTTTTATGCATTTGACATATTCAGACCACTATGAAAAACATCAGGGAAAAAAAATACAGTCCAAATGACACTGCTGTCTATGCAAAACTCTCCTCTATTGGAGCAGTTCTAATATGTACCCTGACTCTCTATTGATATACTTGAAAATGAAGTTCCAATGATTTTACTATGACTTGTTTCTAAGCAGGCCACAAATGCTAAGCATGCTTAAGTGTACTACTAATGTAATGTAAAGACATTCAGAAATGATTTATCTGGCTTGCAAATTGGCCATGTTTTATGCATGACCAAGCCTCCACGAAGGAGATGCAAACACTATGTGCTTGTGGCAACCTGGAAACATAAAGTCTAGAAAGTATAAAAGTTTAAGACCGACTCTCAGAAGCACAATCATTTCAGCAGCTCTACTTAGAAGTATGCATCACTCTTGTCCATTCCTAATGTAACCCTCAAGGAACACATGCATAAATTATAAAAGTATCCTCATGAGGAAAGCACTAAGAAACCTTATTAAAAAGGGGCAAATGAATTAAGGAGGTTTGATGCAAACTCCGTTTAGAACACGGCAGGCCAATGTAATAGGATTTGTTCATACAAAACAACAGAATTACTTTGAAAGAAAGACAAGGTGCAAGAACTATATGTAAGATTCTGTCCTAACCACGAGCTTCACACTGCTCTGCAATAACGTAGTAGGAAGTTGACAAATCTGAAGAGCATGACTTTGTCAACTAGGAAACAGAAAAACAAAAAGGAAATCCAAGTGCTGACTGTGCTCAATCCAATCATACAGTCATTGGTGCCTTAGTTACTGATATGTCGCATCAAAAATTCAAAATATTCTCATACGTACTAAAAACAAAGTAAGCAAGTTCTGGTCTAAAATTCAGGTGAACACCCCTTCTCAAACAAAGGAATAATGGGAGTTATTAGTTGATCATGAATTTGCATCCACCTCTGTAACTCCCTGATGGCCTTAGATTTCCCTTTAATATCTTACGCAGAGGCTAATTAAAAACTGTGGGTGAGAGGCACAGAGAAAACCATGGGGTACGCAGAAAAGATACACACCAAGGAGTACAGTGCCTTTCCACGCCTGTTTGTGTGATTTAGCAAGGTGGCAGGCATCTTTATTTCACTCAAAGAAGTAAACTGTATGGGCTCCTGTCCACTTTTTGAAGTACAGTAGGACCCCCTATCCATGGGATCACTATCCGCTGATTCATTTATCTGATACCTGAAAATACTTAATTTAAAAAACCCCAAAACATGTACAGTATTTATACACATTTCCATGGTGTATTTATCAGAACTGGCCACTAGAGAAAGCCAGAGACCATGCAATATATAGTGTTTGATACTTCTGTATGTTTTGGCATCTGCAAGGGCCTTGGAACTGATCCCCCACAGATGCCGTAGACCTATTGTCTACGTATCTGGGATCAAAACTGGTTCGGGCAAAACATTAGGGCTAGCCCAAGCCGTTCTGGAGCCTGAGCCGAAAGGCCAGATAGCACCACCACTCCCAGTTCTAGTAACAGAAGCCGACCAGAATAGGAGCTTCCCCCACCCTATTACCCAGCACCTACTTAATAAGCCTCCTAATGGTAGAGTCAAGTATCCAATGCTCTCAGTTCCTAAAATGGCAGCCACTGGGACATCCTCTGGCCGCATGGCCCCAATGGACACCTCCTAGGGCCCACAGATGTCCTATACAGCTCCAATGAAATGAATGGAGGTGGCTGATGAGCAGTTCTCAGGGGGACACTTTCAGTAACGCTAAAGCAGCCGGGTCTGTAACTCACCCCGAGGAGGCCGCATTTCCATGACATTCTCCGTTGCCTCGTCATCAGAATCGCCTCCAGCAGCTACAACTTTGTACCGGTTGCTGGTCTGCTTGTTCAGAAGGTGAGGGGCCTGCAGTGCGGCTTCTCTCTCAGCGGCCAAGTCCAGATCTTGCTGAGCTAGGTGAGCTCTCAGCTGCCTAATTTCAAACTGAAGCCAGGGTAGACAGTGCGGGGAGAGGAAGGGATGAGCAGAAGACAAAAATGAGCAGCAGTGCAGAGATATATTTCGCCGTGTGCATGTCTGTGCGTAGGAGCCATTTATTCAATGATTAACATCCAAGCAGTGTTCTTAAAAGGGCATTAAAAATTAGTACGAGCACTTCCCAGCCTTTGTACAACAGCTATTACATCAGTCTGATACAAATTCCCAATATTCATGTGTTTGTGCTTAGCACAGGCTGTGCTGCCGTGTGGAAAGTGCAAGGTGTTAGGTTTCACAATGACAAAAGCAGTAACTGCTAACTTGCAACTTTTAAGAACATAAGCTTTTTTGGAATAGAGCCGATTCCATCAGATTCCTGAAAGGTTGCCCCAGTTGGTAGGTACTTACCTGCAGCCACAGAAAAGCAAGCATATATGCATGAGTAGATGCTGGACAAAAGACCACGAAAATGCAAAAAAGGGCAATCTCTACCCCATGGCCTCCTGTCTATGAGAAAACTGACTGCTACCAGAATGAATAGCCTTATTTCTGGGGTTAGTGTTCTCATTGAGAAGAAACAGTTTCCAGTTGCAACATTACCTATAGGATAACATTATGAAACCAAGAGATATTATTTTGTGTAACTTAAAGACTGTACTTTGATGTCTGATAACCACTCTGAGGGTTGGACAACATCGGCTCAGTACAGGCCTCCCTAAAAGACGGACAGAAGGTGTCTTACAACTTTCATTTGATTTTAAATTACCAGACTGAAACTTGGAAGCAAAGAGTTACAGTTACCTGAAACATGTGTTTCTTTCAATAACAAGGGGATTAATAACGTCAGAACTCAAAAGTAGTCTGGTTTCTTTACTAGTGTAACAAGTTCTGTTTTCTATAATAAGTCATGGTTTAAGGGCATTTTTGAGACATTCTAACATTAACTTTTTAAAAATTAAAATTTAGCCTTAGTATATCCTAAGTGAAACAGAAACTGAAACAAGAAATCAGCAGTAAATGATTAATATGAAATACGATGTACAGTATATTTTTGTATGCTTACAAAAATACTGCACATTGACTCTCTTGTAATACTTTCAGTGTAATTCATATGTAACTTGTCCGTTTAATCATCCTACCGTGTTTTCCTGAAAATAAGACAGGGTCTTATATTAATTTTTGCTCCAAAAATGCATTGGGGCTTATTTTCAGGGGATGTTTTATTTTATAGTCATCCTCTTCTGGTCTGGTTGCTGCACAAGGGTGGAAGGTGGCGTTTCACTTAATTGGGGTTTAATTTTGCGGGTAGGGCTTATATTACAAGCATCCTGAAAAATCATACTAGGGCTTATTTTCAAGTTAGGGCTTATTTTCAGGGAAACAGGGTAGCAGATTTCACCATATATGTACTTATGAGAACATGTATAATTTCCCCTAAAATTAGTTGATAAATGGACAATGCTGGTCACAGAAATCACCTTATTAACTCCAGTCTGTTGGCTCTTATCTGACTTGATAATTTGGCCAAGAGTGGCAGTGATTATATTCCAACAGATATCTCTTTCAGTTGATTTCTGAGCTGCTGTCCAAAGGGAGGTAAATGACAGTATTCTTTTTTTTATTCCACCATAGGAATAACAGTTCTGGCAGCATTATTATGAGTTGACTTGGTAATTTTACTTCTTTCCTGAAAGCCTTCTGACGGGAAATTTAGCCTTTGAGAACAACCATTACATGTGTAGATATGTGCCCACATTTTTACATGCTTGCCAGCATCTGGAACTCACGTATTGCTATCTGTAGCTGTCCTGCACTGGCATTACTACCAGCCGTGTATTGGTCTGAAGTCCTTCTCTCTATCTTTGGTAAAGATTGACTGTGAAGGCACCGTACTCCTTATTTTATCCCATACACTGGCTGAAACCCTGTTCATAGCCTACGCCCTTCAAGAATTGTGGCAGAAACACTTTGTTTACCAGAGAGGAATGGACTGGCTTATGTTATGAACAGGATTTCAGTCACTGAGGGTTGCTATTTTCAGGTGCCAACTTCTTAAGAGTTCTTCAGTTTTATCATATTAGATACTCATAAGAATGAGCACAGGTAGCAAAGTTTTTCTTAGCTGCAATAAATAAGAGGGCCAATTATGAAATCTCTCAATGCACCTATCTCCCTGTAGTCCCTCTCATTGTTTTTACTGTATACTCTTTTAATGTATGGGTCATATGACCGCAATAAACTTACTTACTTACTTACTTGCTTGCTTGCTTATATTACTCATAAGAATGCTGAATATTTTAGCTGCCACACATCTCAAGCTTTTTCTAGCTGTTAGCATCGCAGTTTCGAATTGGGTTAAAGACATCAGGTTTTATTTCTACATTTTAGCATTAGCAAAAAAATTGCTACATGCCGTATTTGAAAACAGTTGTGCTTCTCCAGTGACTTATTATCTAATCTGTACCTTTATTTTTAGTATTGGTCATTATAGACATCCTTTATGTTTGTGCAACCTTTGTTTCCCACTTACTAAGACTGCATTTGATCAATATGGAAGAGTTGGTGGCTATTGTAAGGGGACCTTATAGGAAAGAGACACTGTTCTAATACCAGCATTTCTATGTTGTGCCATTTAGGCTTTTAAAACCCATCTGCCTTCCAGTACTTCGCTGTAATGAAATTGCTTTAATTTGTTGTGTCTAACTGCCGGAAGCTTCTATATCAATCAAATTCGCACCCTCATGGTTGCAAATAATTTATAATGTTTGTTTCCATCGAAATGCCGTAAAATATTTTTTTTCTTTAGAGTAAAAGGAGTATTGAAATACCATATTGTAACACCTGAAACAAGAACATTAACTTTGGGAATCGTACTATTTTTGTTGCTGCTATTTCTCATCAAGATGACTGCAATGTTCTTGATCATTCATTTATGTTACTGTTTGCTGGTATAGGAATTTAAAATTTAACTTAATGCTATTAACCACAAACTATGGCAAGCAACTACCTACAACCTGATGTAACTGCTGGTTATCAGGATGCTTAAATAGTCAGGGGTTCTTCTTTATCATATTTTTGGGCTACAATTCTGGATTTGTGGTGATTGATCAGCAGTTTTGTGTATGTTTCAAATTATTCCATTACTTTCATGATCTTAGGGATTTTGACCATTGGTTTTGCTGCCATCAGTGTCATGTTGTGAAATTTCAGAGGTTACCATCCGGAATAAACACTGAAATTAGCAAGGCTTCAGAAAAGTGGTTTTGCTACCATCTGGTGACCAAATAGTAAAAATGCAGCTCGGCCAGCTTTGCTTCTCTCTATGGATTATCCGATCAAGTACTTGCATGCAGAAGTTAGCACGGAACTTCGTGGTTAGGATTTCCACAAGATCAGCTGAGTTTCAGACTACTAATTTTCTAGCAAGAAATATCACTGCACCCCACCCCCTCAATTAGGCCACTGGGGAGGGGAGGAAGGAAAAGTTGGAAGAGAAGCACCATATTTTTAGGGTAAAACAACTGGTCTGGCCCTCTTAATCCTCAATTCTCTCTTCCCTGATCTACTTCTTGGTACATTATTCCAGGTGTTGGAGCTCTTTTAAAAAATCAAGCTAAACTAGATCTTGAAAAGACTGAAGTTTGCCCTCATTCACACTAAAACTGCAAAGCTTCTTGTCCTCTATAGTTTCGTGAACAGATTTTTGTAGCCCTCTGAAACATTTTCTACTGTTTCTTTCTCATACCAGAAACAGATGCAAGAAATACTACTTCCTCCTTTATCAATTTGCCCATCCTTTAAGCTCAGCTTTGGAGGCGATGCAGTGCATCCTGCCTCTATTACAGATATGATACATTGGTACAACAGAGATAACCTTTCAAAGAGAGCAGTGATACTATAAAACACCCCTCCCATGGGAATATACAGTTCTTTCTGTCTCCCTTTCTTACATGAGTATTTAATATGCATTATCTTTGAGCAAACCTTTGATGCAGCATTTCAAGGTTGCCTGCTAGTTTATTCTTCTTCTTTGTAGTGCTTGAATAAATGAACTGGCTACCACAAAATGCAGCATCAAAGCCTTAATGGAAGTAAACACTGACAGCTGTATCCATGTCAGGAAAGTGTCTGGACAACCCTAACTGCTTTAAATGAGTTTTTTTTTTCCTTTTTAAGTTTTTAGATATTTTTGAAGCTGCTCCAAATACTATTTTGCAGAAAGTCAGGGTAGAATGAATAAATACACCCCTATACAGTATCTGTTTGCCTCCTGTCTAAATTCAAGTTACAATCAAATGATCTTGTTACACATAAAACTTTTTTATGTGTGGTTTAGAAAACACAGCAAAAAAAGCGCAAATGCATGTTTCACATTTAGTATTCAATGCATGTTCTTTGTGCATGAGTACAAACAAATCCAAACAATTCTATGAAGCAGATTTCAGAGTTTTATCAGCATATATGTTGCATACTGCATTTGACAATTATTTATAAACATCCATGAAAGGGCAGAGACCAGCATGAGGTTCTAACGATCACCTGTCTTTTAGGACTAGCTTTGAGTGCCCAATGTGGTGTAGCGGATAGAGTTATGGACTAGGACTCTGGAGAACAGGGTTCAAATCCCTGCTCAGTCATGGACACTGACTGGGGGCATGGAACTGGTAAAACAACTCCTTAAATATCTCAGCTTAACTTGAAAGCCCTATAAGGTTGCTATAAGCTGGTTCTGACTTGACGGTACATAACTATTACACCTACACAAAATGGGTAACCCCATCTTGTCTAGTGTTTTATGCCAAATAGACAGAGCTGGAGCTATCCATGGATTACAGAATTCTCTTTAATGGCCCAAGAACAGGAGATGTTTGGCACAGCCTTGGAGAGATCAACGAACGCTTTAAAACAGAAACCAGCTGCACCAATGCAGCGACAATCATTTAGCTCTACTCTATTAGTCTTCACTGGAATGAATGCCTGCCAAATATTTTTCTGACATTCGGATACCAGCCAGTGTTTATTTCCATTAGTTTGGCAACAATAATTTGGAAAGAGAAAGCAACGCTAGGCGAGGGTTGCAAATGAATGATTTATGGGTTACGGTAACATGCAGGACGAGCTCGGCTGTGTTCCAATGCCTGGGTGTTCAGTATAAAAGTTAATGAGAAAAGAAAAGTGGGTAACAAATTTGAGCAGCACAAACAACACAGTCATTAGAAATAGAAGCTGTTTCACAAATTATCTATCATTTTGAAAGGGAACAATAATTCCTCCATGTCTAGTACTACAGTTTTTATTTTTTAAATCCTAAAACCCCAGATTCACCTGGATTGGCTGAGGGAGAAAAGGAAGAAAGAATCACAATACAGTACTGTTGTTCATCTATATAGCTTTGCTCCATGTTAAAGCACTTCCTAAGCACTGTTCTGTTCAACCTCACTCTATCTGGAGAAGGTGTCTCAATGACACAGATGCTGAATTCTCTTATCTCAGATCTGTCTACAAGAAGCCAATCTATAGGGAATCAAACTAGCTTTGGCCTTTGCCCATCTCATCCAGTACTGTACTATTTGAACTGACCGGCAGTGGCTCTCCAGGATAAGAAACAGTGTTCCCCCACCCCACCCCAAACTTCCTTGATGATGCAAAAAATCCCATTAGGGACCCTCTATATGTAAAACGTGTGCTCCTCCAACTAATCTGTACTTCTAATATATGTGTTTTCTGACCCAGCCCCTACAATGCCAAGACTAAAAACTTATAATAATTTACCCATAGTAAATCTTACTGAAGCAAAAAAGGGTCTCTTGTGTGTTAGGTGCCATCACGTCAGAACCAACTTACAGCAACCCTAACAGGATTTTCAAGGGAAGTGAAATATTTAAGGAGTGATTTTACCAGTTCCACACATCTCCTGAGTTTCCATGGCCAAGCACGGATTCAAACACAGGTCTTCTAGTTGGTCACTCTTATCTACTACAACACACTGAATACAAAGACATTGAAAGGGGTGTAATTCTTCCTAAAGACTATTCAGCTTGTACTGTTACAGTACATACAACTCAGGGGTGGGTAACATATGGTCTGCAGAGTTCATGCCACCTCCCACATAATGCCTGCCGCCATATTCTTCTGTTTTTTTAATTGACTGGAGTCTTAACTAGTTTGTTTCTTTGTTTTATTCAGAACATGCTGTATTCCTCACACTGCTAAATAACCTCTCCCTCAGGTCAACCCCTTCTAGGCCTTGGTTAACTTCTGGGGAATTCACCCTCTGGTTGAAACCATATAGGATTAGGAGCAAAGAGATGAAAAATTTAGTCCCAAATCAAATGTACTGGATTGAAATGCCAGATTAAGGAAAGAGATCAATTTAATGGGTTTCAAATGTAACGTTCAAACAAACTTTTGAACACCTTTACTTGAGTTATTTTTATTGCTTGTAAGCAGTCTAAGATATGGCAGCTGAACAGAATATGCTTTGCTTACACTTATTCAGAATGTAAGAAGAAAAAATAAAGGCATAAAAATGCTGTTCCAGATGAATGTACACATAAAAACATATGTTCTTGGAGGTGTTTTAAAAAGATGATTACATTGGGTTAGATCTAGAGTTAGCCATGAAATCAAGGGGGCTTGTTAGTCATTATTTAAATTGTCTTATTAATTTTCAGTGGCTCTTTTCTAAGCTTGACTAGAGTCTGGATTCAACTGAAGAATTATTTTAGATTTCACTACCTCTGTATCCATGAGCTGTATCAATCCCAGTTATCTCATATGATTTGTACTCTGCAATCCCAGTTATCTCATATGATTTGTACTGTGCTCATTATACTGTGTTTGTACTGTGTTCATTCATTACGCACCCGTTGTGCGAGGCACCACTGTACTGGGTTTGTACTGTGTTCATTCATTATGTTACTAATCATTTCAATCAAACAATGCAGGCAAATTATCTTAGTGGAAGGTGTTCACCCTACATTCCCAATGGTTACTGTTGAAATGAGTATGACAAGTGTATTAAAATGTAGATGTTATTCTGTTGATAGCTTATCTAATGTAGTTACTGAATTGCTGTTATGCTGAGAATAGGAGGATCTCTGAGCAAAGAGGTTTTGTGGAGAGCTGATGTACACATCACAGTTTTTTAACAAACACACACAAATGAAAACACAGCTGTGTCTTACCCCCTGCTCTTGGCAGATCTGGGTTAATCTTTCCAGTTGCTCATCTTGAATGACCTTTGCCTTCTCATATTGCTGAATCACCATCTCCATTTCCACTTTAATGGGTAGTACATATGCTAGAAACCACAAAAAAGCAATCTTGGAGGTGTTCAGAAAAGATGGCGTTGTATCTAATAAATGCAGCTATCATGTGACAGCAGCTGGTCCTCTGAAATGGACAGCATGACTCACTTCCATGCAAAGACCTCATCTCACATGTACATAGCGTCCAGTGCAAAGCAGAACTAGGGAAAGTTACTTTTCTGGAGTGCAACCCTCAGACACCATCAACTGACCATGCTTGGTGGGCAGATTTTGAGAGCTGTTGCCCTTAAAAGTAACTTTTCCTTTTCCAAGCATTGAGAGACTCAGGGTGAGAAAGATGTTTCACTGGATAAATGTGACATTAGCTCATCCTGAGAGGGCTCTTCCAAATTTAAAGACTGGACAAGTTAGAACTCTCTAAAGGCTTTCTACCAGCTACACGTTGACCAACGGATGATGGGCATTTTCTGCCTCTCTAGTGAGATTCAGGAAACCTATATTTCAAATATGCTATATTTCAAAAAAGCGATTCTGGAAAAGGAGATCTTTCTCTACCCATAAGAAAAGAAAAGGCTTTCCCTTTTCTACCTGCCCAGGTTTTATTTAGGAACATGAAAAGGATAAAAGGTAATATTTTATACTGCATCAGGATCCCCGGGTTTTCCAGGTAAAGAATACTCAGAAATGCTTTACCCTTCCCTTCTTCTGGGGAATGCCCTAGGACTGTGCAGTTTGCCCAAGGCCACCCAGGCTGCCAATCGAACTCTGGCTCCCACTGAGCTAATCAGCCAGCTTTCCTCTATATAACTTAGTGTTATTTATTCTAGCCTTCCCCTGTCCTGTACCCTCCATATGTATTTCCCATCATCTCAGACCACTGGACATGATGTTTGGGGTTCAATGAGAGTTGTAATTCAGAATATATAGAAGATGCCAGGTTGGAGATGGGAAGCCTTGATCTCCAGTGTCTAAGGCATGGATTTATTTATTTTATTTTTTGTACATTATCTGCTATGTGAAGTCCTTTGGATGGGAGCTTTCAGGGACTGAACATAGAGCTTTCTCTGGACAACGTATGAGCTGTGCCCCAAGTTATTTCTAAAGGCTTGGGACAGGTAGCTAATATTTCTATGGGTCCCAAATTTTTTTGCTGGCTGAGTTAAGTACTAAAAGCACAGCATTCTACAGTGGTGCCTCGCTAGACAATGTTAATCCGTTCCATTGAAATCGCTGTCTTGAGAAAACATCGCCTAGCGAAAAGCGTTTCCCCATTGGAATGCATTGAAATCCGTTTAATGCATTCCAATAAGGAAGGATTGTCGTCGTCCAGCGAAGATCGCCAATAGGAAAGCCATTTTGCGAAGCGCTGATTAGCTGTAAAATCGCTGTCTTGCGAAAAACGGAAACGCGGACCGAGCTGTCAAAATCATCATCTTGCGAAAAAACGGTCTGCGAAGCGCGGACCAAATCATCGTCCAGTGAAATTTCTCTATAGGAAACATCATTTTGCGATCGCTCATCATCATGTGGATTCGTCATTTTGCCGGGTAATCGTTTAGCAAGGTACCACTGTAAGCGGTCTCTTCCCTTATTACAGCTATTATGAAACCAGAATCTGAGTTAAAAGAAAAGGAGAAACTCAAAACATTGCTAGAAGAACAATTTTAACCGGCTCATTTTGTCACCGACAAAATGTCCAGTTAAATGAGGCTGCATGAAAACACAGGAGCCAGGCTTTGAAAAATATTTCACAACATATTTAAAAGAGCTTACTAAAAAAATTAATGATTACTTACCATCAATAATTCTTTTGACTCTCCAAATTCTCAGTGTGATAATAAGGCTGATAGCGTCCCATGGACTGCTTGGCCCATTGGCCACTGTAGACGCCACCATAGGAGCCAAGGATTATCACATCACAGCACCATCAAATACCTAATATGAGAAGGGTTTGAAAGTACCATTGACATGTTCTTCTTGAATAAAAACCTCAAACTGCATTGCCCTAGGCAACTGAGACGCTCAAATGTTACCATCCCTCCTTTCCTGGTTCAGTTCAATTCAGATTTATTCTGGTTTCTTGGTACTATTACTTTACGTTATTTTTGCGTTATGTTACGTTTCAATCTCTATGGGGATATTTTCACTTGGGAAGCATATCAGAAGTTTCCTGGATAACTATTTAGATAGATTTAGATAACTATAAAGAACTTTTTAAAAAATCAGTACCAATGATTTTAAAAAAAATCAGTACCAATGATTTAAAAAATCAGTACCAATGAGTTAAAAAAAATCAGTACCAATGATTTTAAAAAATCAGTACCAAACTTTACCAATGCATTCATTTCAGTAAAACACAGTCAATACTAATCAAAGTTAAATGGGCCATAGGCCAGGAGGATGAAGATCAATCATTCCTGGGGGCCAAAATACAAATACATAGTAATGACCTTTGTTTTATTCCTGGAACTATGTAGACAAATCCACAAGTCTATACAAATATCAGTATCTCCTGTATTTTAAATTAATCTGAAGTTTGATTTCTTTTTCTGTAAAGCTGATTTTTTTAAAAAAAGGCTGTGGGATGGATGACAGAGGGAAAAGGAGGAAGAGGCAACCCTTGTTGGTAAGAGATTTTTCAAGAACTAGTCAGAGAGTGTATCGCCGCTATCACCTGTTGCCTGTGTTCGGGAAAGGGATCACAGCTCAATGCTAGGGTGCATGCTTTCTACCAGAAGAGCCTAGGATCAGCCCCTGAAATCACTAGTTAAAAAGATGAGGTTGGGTGATTGAAGACCTGTGTTGGCAGCTTAAAGAAAGGCTGTCCTGATCGGCAGAAATGAACTGGATTAGATGGACAGTCTTCCCCCATACAAAGCAGGTTTCTGTGTCACACGGAAGACTCACTGTTCTTTGACTATCAAACTGTCTACAATACAGTTAACAGAATCCCACAAGACATTTGGTCAGACAGTCAGCAATGCTTATGAGTGATGAGGCAGCGCTAATTGTCTACAAGAGATATTTCAACGACGTCAGGTTGTTCAGAGTGTTTAGCCCATACTGACCCTTGGGAATGGCAAAGGGTTTGCATGTGCTGCACACAATTTTCACACAGCTGGATTGATGGCCTTGATGTGCCAAAGGTTCATTGGAGCAGAGGTGTGGAATCTGTAGTCCTCCACAGGCTTCTGGACTGAAACACCCATCAGTCCCAGCCAGCACAGCCTATGGTGTAGGATGATGGGAGCTATAGTCTGCACATAATCCCACTATACCCAAGGGGCCTATTCCTATTCTATTCTAAGCTGCTGGTTATGCACTACGTTGGCTAATGGGAAATGAAAGGAATTCTGGATGAGTCCTATAAAACATTCAGAAAACCTCTTCTAATGTTTCTTAACTGATAATTCAACATACTTCCAAGCTCCATGCAAAGTATTATAAAAAGTTTAAACATCTCACTTACCTCTATCTTGTTTTCAATGTAATCCCATATGCCAAGAACCACAATTCTCAAAATAGTCTAATAAAAGGATATTTGGGAAGATTAAGAAAGAGCAGGGGAGAAAAAGAGAGTGGATTAGCATTTAATTTTAAAACATACCCATTATTTAAAATGATATTTTATCTTGCAAAATGGAAATCTGAAACCAATATTATGTACAGCCTATCTTTAAAACAAGTATCAATTTTGCCTGTTTCTTGAAGTTGTTGGAAGCAAGAGAACGTTCTCCTTCCAAAGAAGAAGGTAACTTTTCCTTGTGACTGGAATCTACACCTTATAATAATAATAACTTTTGAACTGCAGAGCTGGAAGGGATCCTATGGATCCTCAAGTCCAGCCCCTCTCAAGGAAGCCCAGTGGGGAATTCAGCCCCCAAACTTTGGCTCTACAGCCAGAGTCCTAAGCCACCAAGCTATTCAGCAACCATAGGGCTGCTTGCCTGGGTTTCACAGACAAGAGCCAGGGCAGAAGAATGTAGAGGGGCAAGAAGTCATAGACATAGACTAAGACACAGAATCATGGAATTGGAAGGGACCTATAAGGCCATCAAGTCCAACCCCCTGCTCAAGGCAGGAATCAAAGTTATGACCAACAGTTGTCTAATTTTCACTTAAATGCCTCAAGTGTCCGTGTGCTCACCATCTCCCAAGGTAACTGGTTCCATCGTTATACTGCTCTAACAGTTAGGACATTTTTCCTGATATGTAGCAGAAATCTGGCTTCCCATAATTTGGGTCCACTATTATGTGTCCTCCATTCCAGAATGATTGAGATCAGATCCTGCCCCTCCTCCATGTGACGGTCTTCCAAGTATTTGAAGAGTGCTATCACATCTCCCCTCAGTCTTCTTTCCTCAAGGCTAGATCTTTTAGCCTAGATGCTAGAAGTCTAGATGTTGGAGCTTTAAGAACTGGTCAAAAGAAACAATGTTCTGCATGAGGTGGCTGCATACTGAATCATTTATCTTGCAGTCTCGATATTTGTTACTTGTAAAGGGGGAAAAATGACTGCCTTGAATATAATAGGTAACTGGCTGGATTCCTGAGCTACCATTTTGTATATGCCTTCTTGCAGTCCCAGCAGCTGGTTTTAACTGGTTGAAACCAAAGTTCAAAGTAGATTCCACGAGAGAGACATTTGCTCAGTTCTGCTATACAGCTAAGAGATCTACACTCAAATCTCCACTTAGCTGCAAGCCAATCACTATGACAATATTTCTGCACTGGTAAATTACTCATCCTGCTAGAAGTTGTGCTTTTTAGAGTTAGGCCCAAGGGTGGCATTTATTGCCATTTTGTTGTATGAAAATGGTCACACTAGATGTTGCACAAAAATAGGACTGCCCGTGTCTGACACTTAATGGCCCATCCTATTTAGCTTAGGACACTGTGTGTTCGTATTCTGAAGTTCATCTATCCGAATTGTTTACATCCCACTTCCCATCTCCACAAATACACTCAGAGGGTCCCTAGTGGCCTGTATAGCAATATGGATTTTACTTGAGAAAACGGCTAGCAACAAAAAGACAGACCAGAGAGATCTGGAAGAGAGTTGCTAAACCACAGTGCAGTCACAAGAAAAGCTGTGGTCTTCGTAGCTGTCTGTCAAGTCCCAGGTGGGGCAGATGAGCTGAAGCACATGTCAATGATTTTTATGGGGAAAAAATTGGTCCTCAGACCGTTTCGACTTTTTAAAGGTAGTAGCCAGTATTTTGGACTCACCCAAGGAAATTAAAATATGGGAGGCAATGCAATTGTTTCAAGACTGGTGTTCTAGGTTTTTGGCAGCCTGCTGTAGTCAAATCCCCAGCAGCCACATTTTATACCAGTTGCACATTTTTGAGAACTTTCAAAATGCAACCTGAAATAGTTTCAAGTGTCTGTATAATCAAACAAAGGAAGTTACTGGCTGCTCAACCATATCCCTTTGCCACACTGTTCGCATGCTCTTTACGTATTACTTACCTCTGAAAAGAACAAAGAGAGGATAACTAGACTGATCCAGTGGATAACGCCAGCAAATTGTGATGCACTTGAAACTGCAATTAAACAAGGTACACATGACATCAATTAAGTAGAATACACTCAACTGCTTTCAAAGATGTCATATTCAAGACTGCCTTGGTATAGCTTGTCTCAGGAGATTCTCTGCTGACAGCTGTGGAAGAGAACTTCCTATCTATTCCAAGAACACAGGGCTGTAGTCACAGCTAGTGCATAATATTACAAATGGAGACATCATATCAAACATGATTTATACCACTCACCACCAGATAGAGCCCAAAATATACTTTGAGGCCCTCCCCCTCCCCCAATATAGATAACATTGTGATGTAGAGCTTCTAAACTATTTCCTTTTTCAGTATGATCAGCAATCTCGTTCTTCAGCGAACCCTGGCAGAGACAACTCTTAAATGTGGCGAGTCCCTCTTACACTGATGTTACTTGACAGTGGTGGGTTACAGTCATGAACCTGCATTTTTAAAATTTCCACCACGCCTAGCAGCATCATCATGAAAGACCATAACATGGGGAATGAGCAGTGAAATTTGCATTTACAAAATAATGGGGACCTACTGTATAATACTATACTGAAAAAGAGGGACAATCTGTAAATGCAGATTCTTCCCAATATAGGTTACCATATTCAAACCCAGAGAGAGAATGAATCAAGAGATATTTAATACAATGGCTTAATTTGGATGCAATGCTGGTGTAACTTTCCATAAACAGGACTATGTCTCATCTCTCCCTTCTCCTCCGGTAGAGATGCAAGCAGACTAGAAGATTTTATTTCTATTTTCACTTAACTTAGTTTAGCATGAAATGCAAAATCGAAACCAGGTATAGACAAAGTGCAGCTGACATGCAATTGTCTCATGTCTCTTTTTTTTTTTAGGTACTAGGGTGCTCCAGATACTTCCCATGGCCCTAGCCATGGGAACAGAGCCTGGCATGATCTGGTCTGTGATCCCATGGACCAGAGCACGCCTGGCCCTCCTGTCTATAAATAATGTCAAACACTGTCCTGTATATATGGACGTGGGACCACCGATGGTGGCACCAGAAGACCAAAAAAATGGGCTCCCAGTTTCCTCCAAAGTTCTCTACCCTTTGTTCTAAGCTACTGCTATCCTTAACCGTAGTTATTGAAATAATCTTAACTTTATAAACCAAGGCTTGAGGTTTGGTTGTTAAAATGCAGCTAAAAGTTGTCAACTACAGATGGGCAACAGATGTTCAGCAATTTGGCACCCCACCCCCTGTGGCAGGCACCCACTCAAAAGCAGCACCAATTTGTTGTGCAGGGCTATGGAGTTCTGAATTAAACGAAGGATTTTAAGAGGTTCCAGGTTTAGAGTTAAGGAATCTTCAGTCCCCCAGAACGTCAACGAGTATAAAGAGACACACAATATTCCACCAATGATTGCCCTACAATTTGCCTGTCATAAGCCTTCCTGGGGGTCAAGTTTCTGAATGTCGGGTGGCTGATCATGTTTAATCTTTCTGCAGGAAGAACAGTGCTTGCCATCCATCATGCTCACTGTGTTTAAATGTTCCCCAAGAGACCAAACACTGACCTGATGGTCTCGAGATGTGAAAGTTAATGCCTGAAAGCTGCAATTTGCCAGCTCTGAGCAGACCTTAGAAAACACATTTGACTCCTGCTACTTACTACATGTAAACTCTCCATGTGTTTAGTATTTTAAGAGGGTCGGTTTCACCCCTGCTTGAATGTAAAGTTCAGCACAAATATGTGTGTGTTTTGTCTCATGATGGAGGATGATACTTCAGGCTTCCCCCGCTGAATTGCACATTTCAGCAATATGCTGACAGATGCATTACAAAGATGCTAGCAACCTAACCCTTAGGTTGGAAGACTACACAGAAATCTATCTGCCATCTAGTGTTTAAGAAAGATATGCACTATGGAACATGCAGGGTAATTTCAGTTAAAGATTTAAGAGAATTGTTTTGGACCCTGTAGTTGGGAGCGCTAGGGCAGAGCTACAATAAATCTTGCTATTTTTGAATCCCAGCAATGTATTTTCTGATTGGTCACAGAACTGTACATTAAGTCGTGTAAAATGAGCATCTCTATCTGCTCTAAATCAGATTATTTTTCCTATGCTGTTTGTTGCTTCATGTCATGTTATGCTGGCAGAGGGATGTCTATTCTCTATGTATATATGTGAATAGACTAAGTTGTTGCTTTTACTCTCTCAGTGTCATAACGTCATAAGTATCTCTGCTAACCAGTCTCTCCTTACTCTGCTGATGTTATGAGAATACACATTATAATCAAAATTCTCAACATGTTTCATGTCCTGAAAACGCATCACAAAAGCTGGAACGGTTTGAGAATGGTTCTGTTGCAAAAATTTCTTTTTGACTGGCCAGGAAAGGCCAATCCAAATTTGTTGACTCCTGTTCCTCAAACTCCAATGCCTCTGAGCAGAGATAATAAAGAGTGTAACACTAGTACATAATAATACACAGTACAGCAGTATTACACAGTATTACACTTGTAGTTAGTCTTCACAACTTTTTTTTACTTCTGTTTTGTTTTGTTTCTGATGTAATATTACACTTGGTAAATTTATGTCTACTCCATTTTAAAAGGTAGTTTAGTGACACTGAATTTTGAGTGCACCATGCTTCAGATGTTTTGTGTTTTCCAGTTCTTTCTTTTTAAGCCTCAAATATGGCCAAATAATAACCCTCCTATACCTTACTTTATTTTTCTGCAGTTTTTAAAGGAGCAAAACAAACAAAAACAAAAAACCAACAGAAACCAAAATGAAACAAAGAACCCAAAATAAACATATGGAAGCAGCGCTCCCTCTAATTTTCCAGAGCTCTGCAAAGGAGTTCTGCCCCTTGCACGTGGGGCTCAGCAGCAAGCTGAAGCAAATTGGCGCTAACACTTGTTTAGCTGCGCACGGCCAAACATCTGCATGGCTTAGAGGGAAAGCTGTATGGAAGAGAGAATAAGAGGTGGCACTGGCTGTGAGTTCTGGGGGAAAGAGTTGTCTGCATCTAACCAAATATTTGTGTGTTTTTCAAAGTTTCTGGAAAGTTGTCTGCATCTAACCAAATATTTGTGTGTGTTTTTTTTAAGTTTCTGGAAAACTTCAATGATTTTTTTAAGTTCATGGGTTTATCCTTATTTTTTAGATTTAAGCTCATACCAAAACTAATCTAATTGATGCTATTGGTTTATAATTTGCAGGTTGCTTGGTTGATAGCATAAGGCTGGAGAGTCCACTGTTCTGATTAGAGGCTACAGTGACCCAGAGTCCGGCCCTGGAAGTCACCTCTCAAACTAGAGAAAACACAAGGACCGTCTAGCGATGTGTTGTTTTTATCTGTACTGGTGGCAAGTTTTAGCATATCTTCCACTTCTAGCTGGGCAAAGCAGCTGCACCTGATCTCCTGCTTAAAAGACAGCTTACAAACAATGTAAAACCAACTGGAGGGAAGCAGAAAAGGATTAGGAACAAACACGTGCCATCCTTAAGCTAGCTACTCTGGTTGCAGAAGCATAATTCTAGGCAGGGAATCTGCCACAACAGCTTGTCCCGGCTGATCCACCTCTCAAATCCTCAGGCCACAGGGGCAATGCACTCAGCACACGCAAAATTTCCAGTCAGAGAGGAAAGACAAAGAACAATTAGTGCAAGAGCTAACATAGCATTCACCTGACTCCCTAAGGGATGGATGCAATACCAGTTATCACCAATACAACTAGATCTTGAGAGTGGATTCTGGAGATTCTTCTTTACCACTTACAGATTTGGCTGCCCATATCTTCTAAGCAAAAGGGCTAAACATGAACAGCCCGTTAGAAATCCTTTCCACCAAAGATACAAAGAGGATAGAAGCTGAACAGTAAGCTCAAAGCGCTGATATACAGTACTGGTTTCATTACAAACTCCCCTTCTCACTGCAACAGGTCAATCCAATACTTAAGAAAATGTATTTGTCTTAGTTATGGAAATGCTATCTTTACCTGCAGATCCCTGACACCTCCAGTTAAGAGAATCGTAAATGACAGATAAAGTGTGGGACTAGAACTAGGGTTCGAAATCCCTGCTTGGTCTTGGGAACTGATGCGGGGCAGGGATGGTAATGGTAAACCATGCCTTGAACATCTCAGTTTGGAAACCCTATGATGACGTTTAGGTCATCGTAGATCAGAAGTAACTTGATAGCAAACAACAACAATGGATCAGAAGTAACTTGATAGCAAACAACAATGAGAAATGTAGAGGCAGAAGAAACCTGAAGGACTATACAGTCTAACTCTTCAATGAAGGAGGAAATCGACAGACAAATTATTTCTGAAAAGTCGACTCCCAACTTTGGTTAGATCAAGCAGGAAGTGATGAAAAAGACAGTTCCAACTTGAGACTTGGTTCCAGTCAGAGCTACAGATGGACAGATAGTGTAATGTGGCATAGTACAGACTGTTATAGTCCTCAAATAGTAGTCCTAAGCACTACCATTTAAAACATGAGAATGCAATTCCAGAGACAGCAAACTTAGTCCTCAAATAGTAGTCCTAAGCACTACAGTACCACTTAAAACACGAGAATACAATTCCAGAGACAGCAAACGAAACTCTTTTTTGCTGGGCAGAACAAAGCAGGATAAACAGGAGGATAAGAGACTGAACTGTTCCTGCTGGCACAGCAATCAAATCCCATTTAAAGCCAAAGCTATTTGCCCCCTTTATTTAAAACATATTCACTCAAACAGTTTTGCTACAGCCAACGCACTCGTGCCATGAGCAGTCTTTAAACACGTACCATGTACTACAACTTCTCTTAAACAAATAGCCCAGAGAACACTGAACGTATCTGAATAAAGATAAGTTTGGATAAACAGGACTTCGAAACATATCATCACTCAAGTAAGATGAACCTAGGAATGTTAGGAAGATACGCTTCTCTTTTCTTTAATTTGATGCTCTAAAATGAGCCTGCACAACTAAGTGCCACCTGCAGAAATTATGTTTTTTTATGGGGGAGGAGATGGCAGAGCGGTGGCAGAACACCTAGCCTTATTGCAGGAAGCTCTTGACATCTCCAGTTAGAAGGATCACATTGCAGGCGGTAAGGGGGGAAAAAAACTCTGCTCTAGGACTGATGCTGCCAAAAGGTTTTCATACAGTTCACGAGAGTGGGGTGAGGAGGCCTCTAAAGCAGCACTATGATGAAAACAGATTCATTTGATATGGAGTAAGTTTCCATGGATTTTGCTGAACCAGGGATCAGTTTGTGATAAGGCATGCAAAAGAGCAGAAAAAAAAATTACTAGCACATGGTTCCAGAACTGAGACTAGTTTGGTAGGTTTCACATCAAAGGCCAAGGCAGAGAGAAATAGTTCTGTTCTAGTATTTTTGATTTGAGGACAGTAGCATGATTGCAACTAAATCTGGAAAGATAGTGAGTACATGTGCATTTGAACTAAGCACTACTGTCATGTAACCCATGAAATGGTTCTCGGGAATACAAGTTCCCCCACTTTTGTTCCATAGCAATGTCTAACGATCTTGAATAGGATCCAAGTTTCCCTTCCCTCCACCAGACGTACTAGAGAAAAATAACCTTTACAATCACCCTTTGATGCCCCCTATAACACATTTAATAGCCAATATCCTGTTGGGTAGTTCTGTCTGCATAATGGGAATGATGTCAGCAGCAGCAGATTGCCAATAATTGAAGAGTCACTTTTTAAAATTTTAGATGCATTAATTGAAAAATTAAGTATTAAGTCAGAACCAATCTGCCACTGAGAATGAGATCATTCCTGTCACAGAGGCAGAGTTGTGCAACAGAATACTAGTTCTTGTATTTACAGGTATCAAGACACTGTTTTTTTTCTCCTTATCAAGTACCTTAACATGGATTCCTATATCCATTCCCTCAAAAAGTATCAATGGATTTGGTCCCAGACTTTCTAACACACAGTAGTTTCTATGATTTTGGAGGCCCAAGTCATACACTAACATTTTGAGTGTATAACAAGAAATGTTAGTAGACAATCAAGACACGTATTACTGGAAAAATTCAAATACACACTGGAAAGAAGCACACAAAGGTGGCAGTGCATTATGTTCTACTGGAACTAATCCAACGGAAGCATCAATACTCCAAAAGTACATTGGGTTCTGCATGCTTTTTAGGTCATGTACTCTAAAATAAGCCCCCTGCATTCTACCCCACCCATGGTATATCTGAACATCACGTATTTTGAACAAAAGTTTCATAAAAATAAATAAAAGCCTGCTACTCACACTGGAGAAGCTTTATATCTATTAGGAGTTCCAGAGTCAGAAGGATCACCACCAATACTACACAGGCTACCAGGAAACTGTTGAGACTTGCACTGAGCAAAAATACCTGCCACACAGCAGCTCGTCTCCCGCAGCACGGTTTTAGCCAGTTAGATCTGAAGAAAATAAAATGAGAGAAGGAAGCGGGAAGAGGAAAGAAAAAGACAGGGGGGAAAAGGTAGATGGGTAAGAGTAATGGGACAGAAAGAGGACAGAAACTTGAGTACTTTCCCCCCTCTTACAAAAGTACTTTTCATGTTACTTCACTCTTCCTGTTCAGTCATCTTAAAAAGCATGCATCCTTGTATATGTTTTGCATACACTAAATACGAATTCCAAAGAGGCATCTGTGCCGGTCTATTTTGGCAAACAAACAAATGCATGTTAAAGACTAATTTATTAAGATAGAAGCTTTCAAGGAACAGAGCAATGAACAGCAAGAAGCAGAGCTGCATATGCAGTGAACGCCAGGACCCAATCCTAGAGCTGTTCTGTCCCTTTCCTATGAAACAGCAGAGGAATGTAAGATAAGCCCTGCTGGTTCAAACCAAAGGCCTTCTCTAGTCCTGCAGTCCATTCCTACAAGGTCCCACTAGAGGTCTATGGAAAACCTAGTGCTGAACTTCCCAGAGTACCTAAATTTGTATAGAGAGTATCAGTAGAAGGTGTGAAGTCTGTGAAGTCTTGAACACAACTTTAATATTAAAACAAAGACATCTGGATCGCATAGCTGCTTCAAACGCAAGACAATTTAACATCCTTTGAAGTGAGATGGACACACTGATCATTCTAGCAAAAAGCAAAATTAAGCAAAATGTGCTGCTTATATACCATCCCACAGTGCTTAAAGAACTTTCTAGACAGTTTGCAGTTTAAATTATGCAGGGTGTACATGACCGCCCACCCCCACCCCATGAGCTGACCTCAGAAAGATGGAAGGTTGAGTCAACCCCAAGCCAGCTAGGATTGAATTCAGATCCTGAGCAGAGTCTTCACTGCAGGACTGCAATTTAACCACTGCACCATGAGACTCCCTGTTGGTGTTCTCATATTTTCAAATTACAAAATGTCAAAAGTAGCCCCCAGGAAATTCAAACGGTGAACCACCTCACTATTTCAGACACCTTGGGTCCTTTTACTGGACAAAAGGGGCATGCAAAATAAAATAAAACAACAAGTTCAAATTTTAACCTAAACACCCAGATTTCTGCTGTTGACCCATTTTCTGTCACAATCTCAGATTCTATCCAGAGAGAAAACCGACGAACACGGCTACTTCCTTGAAATCTTTGATTATGATATATATATATAAACAACAGAATTTCTACTCAATCAAACCAACGGTCTCTCTAATCTGGCATTGCATATTCTTAGTGGGCAGCAGCTCTCCAGCAGAAACATCTTTAACATCGGTGGCAACCAAATTACTCAAATGGACTGATTGAATCTGGGACCTTCCTGTATGCCAACTACTCCCACTATTGCTCAGTTATGATCAATGCAGCACTACCACATGACTTCCAGGAATATGAAGATGCATTACGTGGATAAGGGTTGCAACAAGTGTTATACTGCAGCAGTAACAGTAAGTGCACATGGAGCAATCTCTCAGGTCTAATGCCATACAGATATGTAGCATTTATAACTAAATCAGAGTATTACCCATCATGTTTTCTAAATTTATGTATGTTGGATCCACTGTTTAGAGCAGTGGTTCCTGGCTTTGGATCCCCAGATGTTCTTGGACTACAACTCCCAGAAATCCTGGCCAGCACAGCTAATGGTGAAGGCTTCTGGGATTTACAGTCCAAGAACATCTGGGAATCAAGGTTGGAAGCCACTGTTTGGTTCTGTAAACCAGCTTCCTTCTTTATTACCAGTTCACCATTCTTCTTTTTTACTACTATTTTCAATAATGCATTCTTTACAACTTCAAAAATAAAAATTCTGAGGTTGAGCAAGCAGAGGACAGAGATGCATAAATCTATGGAAGATAGAAAACAGATAAAAATATTTTAATCTGGTATGTTGTGAATTGCTGGATAGCTCAGTGGATTAGGCATTTGGCTGTGGAGCCAGAGACTTGGAGTTCAGTTCCCCACAGTCCTTCCTTGATAAGGGCTGGACTTGATGATCTATAGGATCCCTTCTAGCTCTGCAATTCTGAGATTATTGCTGCTTCATCTTTTTCTCTTTTACTACCATTTATTACTCTTCATTTTAAAAACAATTCAGAGGACGAACAGCAGAGGGCAGAGATACACACATTTATAGAGATGATAGAAAATAGAATTTTTGCTTCTGTCTGCCTGGGAATCATTTTGCCCCTAAAGTTGAGAGCAGCTATGGCATGGGTTTGTAATGCCAGCAGCAGCAGCAACATGATTAGAATTAGCAGTTATCTACTTTTTACTGCAGAATTCATGACTGGCTTTTTCTGTCAAACTGCATGACTTTGTGTTTATGCAAGTGTCTGACTGCTATATTTCAAAAGCTAATATTATCTACAAATTACTGTAACAGTGAAAACAGGAGAGAGGCAGACTTCCAAGACAGCATCACCAGCCCCAAAGAACAATAAGCATTTTCAAGAACAAACTGGACTTCCGACTCATAAAGTTATAAGCTGAGGTGGCCATCTGGGATTTCCCTTGGCAGAGAGTTCCAGAGACGAGCTTGCAGCCAAAGAAGCCCTCTTATCATCATAGTAAAAGAAGGACTCGGGGATTTTTTTAAAAAAGCTTTTTCAGCTGAAATTTATGAATGTGGAGATAAATAGTGGAAAAAAAATACTGCCTCCATAATTTCAAACAATACTTATGTTATGGATTCTGGGTAAGGCTGAACCTCTCATAGGAAAATAAAAAGTTCCACACTATCCGCAAGCAACCCTTTGTTGATAAACAAATAGTCCACCAATTAGCATGTAGCCCTAAGTTAAAAAAAAATACTCTGCCCCAAAACAGCCAAGGGCCAAACTCTTGACTGACCCTTGGCTTTTGCTCAAAGACTGAAAAACCAAAACAGAACAGATATTCCACAACCAGTCAAGCTGGTTGCCCATGTGGCAAAACTAATTCTGAGAAAAGTTACAAATAATGGAAAGAAGGTCGGGAGGTTAAGCTTGCCAAATTACAAAACAATTCTGGGAGCGTGTTAATGAAATGACAAGCACAGTATTTTCTGTGGAAGCCTAAAAGCAAACCAAAATGTGTTGTTATATACTGCCCCTTAGTACTTAAATCACTCTCTTGGTGGTTTACTATTTAACTATGCAAGCAATACATCCCCCCTCCTCCCCGAGCAATTTCCTGACCTCAGGAGGATGGACGATTGAGTCAACCTTGAACTGGTTCACTGAGCCTGCAATCAAACTCAGGTTGTGAGCAGATTCATAGCAGTATCTATGCCACAAGACTCCGTGAGCTTAAATCTGTTCATGTCTGACATGCCTTCATTCAAACACAGACAAACACTTGCTTTTAAATGTTTGTGAGAATCCTGGTACTGGAAGCAATAATTCACCTTAAAAGCCTAAACTGAATGTTAAGGATACTGTGGAGAAACAATATTCAAACGCTGTGACAGAATATCTATTGAATCAAGAGCCTTATTTACTAATATCGTCATCAGCTTCCCATGCTGAACTCTATCAAAAACCTTCCTGTTGCCAATAAATTAAGCACAAGCTAGGAACATTATGGACAGGGCATCTCTCAATTACAGACAAAACAGTGATTCTCTGGTCCTATATCCTCTGAATTCAAATGGTGTCTACTGTTCCTGTTTCACATTTCTTGCAAATTCTGCCACGCATTATTTTTAAGAAAGCCTTAAGCAAACAGTTCATTAAGAGTATCGGCCTGTAGTCATGGCAAACTTTGTATAGGGAGAGTCGTAAAAATCTCTCTCAGCCAGCGTTCTGCGGCTTTGATTGAGAAGGTTCAGTTTAAGTTGTTTTAGATTATCAGGTCGACTTAAATTTGGCCCTTTGTGAGTCAAGGTTCGGTTTTCTATCTACTGCTGCAAGGTTGAGCAATGACAGCCCCGCAGATATTGTTGGGCTGCAACTTCCAGAATCCCATGCAATCCATTGGCTGTGTTGGTTAGGGCTGACAGGAGGTGCAACTCAACAACATCTGGGGGGGGGGTCACCATTACCCAACGCTGCCATATACCATACCAGTACAGTAGGAGCACTGTATCCCCCCCCCCCCCGATGCCAAAAAATGCTGTGGAAGGAGCCAGTGCTATACATTGCATGGTCTCTGGCTCGCTCTAGTGGCCAGTCCTGGTAAATACACCCTGGAAATACATATAAATACATATTTCTGAGATCTTGTTATTTAGTATTTTCAGGCAGTGGATAAGTGAATCACAGGATCTGGATCCTGTGGATAGGGGTTCCTACTGTACACCATATGGCTGCAGTCCTTCCACTTAAAAATATAAGCTAGCTTGTCATATGATTAGGTCAGATGTATTCTCCATCTATCCCACTGTTTGATCTGACAGCATCAGCTCTTTGGGATCTTGGACAGACGTTTTCTCAAATCAGTGGTTATCCAATTAACTGGAGATGCCGTGGATGGCATCTGCAGCCTCCTGCTTACAGCTGCAACCCAGCTTCCCAATTCTGCCCAAACTGTGTGCTCTTCAAGCTGCAGAGCTCATTTATAATTTTTCTGCAGTCTCGGTATGTGGTCTGAGGAAGTGGACTTGAACCACAAAAGTTCACTGACTTGGGGTTGTTGTTTTTAGTAGCCAAAGGGGTCTGATGTTGAGCCGTCAAAAACTACAGTGCCTTTCATTCCCTCATGGAAAGATCTGATGATGTTAAGGAGACGAGGTGGACATCCAATCTTGGGAAGTATTTTAAAAAGGCCATCCCTGCTAACCAGATCAAATGCTTTTGTAAGGTCTATGAAGGCCACTAAGAGTGGCTGTTGTTGTTCCCTACATTTCTCCTGCAGCTGTCGGAGGGAGAATACCATGTCAGTGGTGGATCTATTAGCTCAAAATTCGCACTGTGATTCTGGATAGACCCTATCTGCAAGCACCTGAATCCTCTTCAGCACAACACGGGCAAGCAGCTTCCCTACCACACTAAGAAGAG